GGATCCCGAGCTCCTCCCGCGCTCCCGTTTCTTCAAGGGGTGGGGAGAGCCGAGCAGATGGCAGGGAGGCGGCGAGTGGCCAGATCCGGGAGGGGGGCTCTGCAGCCCCATCACATGGGCTGGGCCCATGGCCAAAACCAACAGGCAGAGCTATCTAAATATTTGCAGCCCGCCCCGTCCAGCAGCAGAGTCTGCACCGCACTGGGACCTGGCTGACTCGGTGAAACCTGGGAACCGGCGGCTCCCCCCCCTCCAGAAAATAAAGGAGGCCTTACCCTGCCCCACTCCCAGCCCGAGAGCCTCCATCTCCTGCTCCGCTCCGGCCTACGTCAGCCCCAGCCTACGCCGCTGCACACGTGTCACATCAAACCCTGCAGCTAGGTCTGATGCCTGAAGGCAACGGGCCAAGCTGAGCTTTGGAAGAGGTAGAAATGACCAGGGCTGAACCCTCCTTAGCTTCACTTCAGCCATGGGTCAGGGAAGCATAGCTGAAATTCATGCCCATGTTTCTGAAATCCTTCAGAGGCAGCTCACGGCATTTTCCCTACTAGAGCAAGGCGAGAGGAGGGGTACAGAGCTTTCAGGGTCACTCAAACACACTCAAAATCCTGCTTTTGGCATGAAGAAAGCCCCATGCACGCACCCTCAGCCTCCCATCGCTCCTCTCCCAGCCACCAGCTCCCCTGCCCTCGCGCCGTGAAACCGCAGGCCCGTGCTGCAGCAAGGCCATGTTACGGAGCAGGAGGAGTTCCTGGTGGGACAACCTTGCCAGAGTCACAGCAAAGACCAAACCAAGGAAACAAGGCCTGCCCTCCACTCCCAGGGGGTACAGAGGCCCTGGGACAGTTTTGGAGGTGCACGTGGATCTTGTTTAATGCCGGGGGAGAGAAGCATTTCACATTAACACCAAAATGGAAACCTGCAGGTACGAAAGGCTGAACTTTGACAGACACCACAGGGATTTGGCTCCCAAACTCCCTGGGTTCCTCACACGCCCTACATTACAAGTAATTGGCCACATACCAAATACTTAAAAATTACTGCTTGTTTACCATCAGGACCTTCATCGCCCAGGATTCTCCTTGGTCACATTTGAAAGCATGTGCCCCAAACAGAAATATAAAGGTGGGAAAAAAGGCCCCAGGGCCACGCAGCCCGCCCTGCCCAGCATCATGAGCTCGGTCCCTACAGCATGCCTGCCACCGCTCTCCCCTCCCCAGCATCTCTGGAGAGGCAGCTCAGGGGGACAACGGGCCAGTGGAAAGTGGGACTGAAAACCTTCGTAAGGGAACTGTCAAAAAAACGACAGGTTGCTAAAAGAAATGCAAATGGCACCTGGCCAACCGTAACAGAGCTGTCAACGAGAGCTGACAGTCAGCTCAGGCGGCAGCCAGGGCTCCGCAGCCCCGGGGGGAAACACGCAGGCAACCCGCAGCGGTGAACGCCGGAGGGAGACCCCGGACACCCCTCCCGGGCAGGGCGCGCGCTCCGGGGGCACCACCAGGAGAGCAGAGGGGCTGAAGGAGCCATTTCAGATGCACATCCAGAGCGGTCAGAGTCGCGGGGACGAGAGCACGAGTACTGAGGGGACGAAAAGCCAGCACAAATCATCTCTACCTGAAAGGGCAGCCAGACATTTAATTTTATTTTTTTTAACTCTTGAAGAAACAAAGTAGCAAGCGTATGCCCGGGGAGCTGTC